TCTCTTTCTATTGTCTTCAACTGCTACTGCTATGATGATGATGATGATGATGATGATATGTTATTTTATTTCAATTCTTAAGCTGTTCTTACCTCAACCCATGGGGTTTACCTCTTTTTTCCTGAGTCTCCTCCCCACCCCCTGGGGGTGTGCATGTGTGTGTTCATGTGATCCAGGAGCTCTGTGGTACTTGGTTGCTGGCTGGGCTTAAATTACAACACAATGTCTAAAAAGCAAAAGAAAAATACTACCTTTTCCAGTTGTGACCACTCATCTAAGACATCACTCGCAAAGTTGAAGTATTCTGGCAGCTCCTTTTTACACTGGTTTATAGAATCATAATGGGAAATAATCTGAGATGTCAGAAGCCTCTTGTATCCATGGAAGGATCTGCAAGGCGACCTGAGAATCTTCAGACACTGAGGAATCCATGATTTAATGAATGTTCTCATGATAAATGATGTTTTATCAGACAGTGGGGAAAAAAAGTCAGGATTCAGCAGAGGAATCAGTCACCTGAAATGAAAGAAAATACATTTAAAACTAGCGTGGTATTGGATGCTGTCTTGTTTGTGATATTGGATAAATTAATATAAACCAGGTTGAATAAATAGGTTGTTTGAGCACATCCTCATTTTCCCCTAGTATTTTATGCTCCACCTTATCTGTCAAAGAGATTGTTCACTGGTTTTTCATTAGAATCTTTGTTCTCCAGTTTGTCAGCTGATGAATGGTTCTCATATCTCATCTCTAAATTTCACTTACCAGTCCTTTTCTAAATATCTGTCTTAATTCCTTTAAATTTTGTATTTTACTCTGCCTGCTTGCAGAAATAAAATGCCATTAGTTGTTAAGTGCTTTGAGGACAGTATCACCTTGACTTAAAAGGGTCTCTATAATTATGCTATGCCTTAAATATGCACTAGATGGCGAGTCATACTGCATTTATGCACCAATAAAACCGATGAATCCCTGAAATATTTCCTGGTTAGTTCTATTTTCTTTGGGGGCATGGAATAAACACAAAATAAATAGCAGTTGAACACAGGTGAAATGCCAAAGAGTTCGGCTGGAGTGTGCAACTTGGGGAAGGACACTTGTCATAAAACAAACTTGCAAAGAAAATGCCAACGCTTCCAACTTCTCCTTGTGTTCCCTGTACAATGTACAGGTGTGTGTCTAAAAGAAAACACTGTACTCCACCAGTTTAAATTTTCTGTTCAGTTCTACAAAATCCCACTTCTTTCCTCACTGCAAACTGTCCTGGCAGGATGGACTGTTGCATGATCCTCCTTTTACTGTAGTTTCCTTCCAGGACACAGAGGTTAGAAGCCCCTTCCAAAATGGTGCCTATTTCCTGGCTTTCAGGAGGGATTTAAATTGTCTGCTATTTATTTCAGTGGCAGACGGGAAACCAGCTCTCTGTGCAAATGGTTCTGCCATCCTACCTGTGCTCTGGGAGCCTTGGGCTGCGTTCTGAGCTTGCAACACTGCCTGTTCAGATCAAACAGGCCTTCCCAGTATTAACCTGTAATTCTGAAAGATGATTTTTAACCTTACTAGGATGTTACTTGAAAGGCATCTATGGAAAAGAGCCTGTTATGAAGAGAAAGAGACCACAAAGTCAAATGGGAGACTCTTATCTTTCTGCCTTTTTTTTTTCTCCTTTAGTACCTGATTGCTGAATCTGTATTTACGTGTGATCTTATCTTGCAAGCAGTCTGAATACACAGCTCCCTCTGATTTCATTTGGCACCCTGTACAAGTACTAACAGAGCACATCTCAAGGTGCATTTACAACCCAAAACCTCTGAGATTTAGGAAAGAGTTTGCTTGAAACCCAGCCCAGCTCACATCAGGCATGAAAAACAACCTCAACTAAAGCAACATGTCACCCAGGATCCTTCACCCTCCAGTAAATGGAGACTCCCACAAACACTCCTTTCTTTTAGTGGTACTCTCCTGGATAGAAAGGCTGCTAAGGGCATGAGGAGCGAAGCAGCACTTGCTACTCCTTGAGAAGGAAGAGTGATTGTTGGAGGAGGTCTCATAGTTCACAGGCGTGGCTGACAGTTATCCAAAGATGAAAGAGTACATTTAGTCCCTTTGGTTTATTGCATAGATATTGTAGCTGCATGAAATTATGCTATTGAAAAACCAATGGTTTAACCCACAAAGTAGTATCTTACTTGAGTTACAGCTTGGCACTTAAGTAGAGAGGGGAACCTCACAGAGAAGACACTGAAGAGATGCAGATACTAAAGTTACATATGCAAAACAATGAGAGTGTTTCCCTGACTTCAGCACACTCACTCAGATCCACAATCAGTAGCTCCATGAGTGCAAGAGAAACCCTCAAATCCTGCCCCAGGTGCCTCACCTTGTTGCTTTGTCTGCAGCCCTGCACTGGGTAACACTGACAAGACCAGGGTGTCTGATTACAGAAGTGCACTGACTGCAAGCATTTCACCCTGTGCTTTCTCTCTCACCCTCTCCCCGGGGTTTTGTTACAGAAACACTAAACCCAGCTTTCCCACAGATACTTTTTTCCCCAAAACACTTCTAAAGATTGAGAAGTAGTCGACCATCTTAACCTTGCTATGGAAAGGTGCAGTTGGCTCCACTGGTGGTAGACTCCTCTATCAACCTTATCAGCCTCTTGGTTTGGCTGATACAGCCACAGCCATAGGAGCAGCAAAACCTGCTGCTTAGCGCTCCTTTGCTTGTTTCTTTCTCAGTATCTGGATAAAGGCAGGACAAGATGAAGACACATCTGCTTTTCCTTCTATTGCTGTTTCTCACAGGCTTCCTGGCAGTAGACACCATAAGCCCAAATGAAGCAAAGCTAAAGAAAGCCAAGCTGCCCAAAATAAAAAAGGAGAACAACGTCCTCTTGCTGAAAAAGAGCAACTTTGACAGAGCATTGAAGGAAACCAAGTACCTCCTGGTGAAGTTCTGTGAGTATCAATTTCCACTGTCTCATGCTGATGGCTCTGCAGAGCATGACTGATGCTGGGACACTCAAGTGTACTCGTTCTACCATTGCTTTGTCCCCCAGAAGTCCTTGTTTGTTTTGTTTTTCTCCGTGTATCTATTTCTGATCATAACTGCAGCAATTTATTCCTTTTTGGGATGGCTAAATACCAGTCTGCTACATAAGACAGTGCTGAGTTTGCATTCTTCACTTCCACTGCCTAATTTTGCAAGTATGTGTTTCACAGCAGTAATGGGTGAAACATCAGGAAAAAAAATAAAACCAAACAAAAAATAATCAGGAGTGCTTTTCTCCCTCTTACATTTTCATCAGCGTTTTGAATGAGGTCTTAGTTGGATGGCATCTCTCCTCTGGGAGTGCTTGGGCTTCAGGGAATGTCCTTTTACAACATTTTGGTGATTGTAATTACATTATATGGAATATTTCCCTGAAATGAGCCCTTGATCAGGTGGAAACAGGTTTGTGGTCTTTCTATTAGGTTGATGTTCATTCCTGATAGGGAGAAAACTAGCGGGGGCTTTTGAGTAACTAACTTTGTTATAAGGTCTGGCCATCAAGTACATCACAAAAGCAAAAGCCAAATGGTATATTCTAGATGTACTGTATGTCAGTCTGAAATGAAAACGCTTGTATTTTTCCAGCAACAAACCCTAAAATACCCTAATAGATTAGTGAAACTAAAAATGTGTTTGGGTCATACCAAACATTTCACTAATCCTAAAATGATGTTATGAAACTTTAAATGTTTTTAACTTTCAGAATAATCACATTAGAAAATTACTTAAAACATAATGTCTACTTAATAATAGTAATAAACTTTTAAACAATCTTGAAAGTGTTGAAATTTGGGAAGATTTTATTTACTAATTGTGGATGTTTTAAAGCCATTCGCCAAATTCACGCTACAGTTGTGAACTGTTTTATCTCCCTGAAGATGCATCATTTTAGTGAAAAAATAATTGATCAGAAAAACCTTAGTAATTCTCTAATCTTAGCTTTGTAAGAGCTGATTTTAAGTATAGAATCTAAATGTCCAGGTCAGAGAAGAGTTTGTAGCCAAACCTTCTTAGTACTGGCACAGATTATCAACAAGGAGATATTGCAACACACTTCAGGATTGCAACGTGATACGAATGGAAAGCAGACGTGAAAAGACTCATAAAGGGATAGAAGTTGAAGAGAGAAGTTCTGAATACAATAGCCCAGGACTTGGGCACTCAAAAGATGTGGAGATCTAAATCAGGCTTTCTTCTCCCTGCTTCAGAGCAGAGTTTTGGATCTCTCTGATATCCCATCACTCTCACAACTGGCTTCTTCAGAAGGGAAGGACAAACACTTCCATTCCCCACTGCATCTTCCAAAAAACATCAGAGGTGAAACACTGCTCCACAGCCACACCTTGCTCCAGTGATCCTCATGGCTTTCTGGTTTGGATTAAAGGCCAAGATATCTGAAGGGCTTATCGAAAACTCATGGATTTCATTTCCCCCACAAAACATAAAGGCATCTGCAATCCCTGTAAAGAACTGTGAAATCAGTCACGAGAGGGATGAGCTCCACAGCCCAGATACATTACCTGGCAATCACTGGCCTCATCCTCTCTAGCTCCTTTTGGAGACAAGCCAACAAACAGCCTCTAGGGAGTGAAAAACTATCCTGCAGTGAGGCAATGCCCCAGGATGTTGGAAACCTGACTCCACAGCGCTGAACAAGATGATTCATTGGCCGCAATCATTTCATTGCCACAGCACAAAGAGACTAAAGATGAGACATGCATGTGCACCTGCACAAAGAAGCCATAAACCCACAATATTTTATGTCCTACTCCCTAAAACAGGCTATCTGAATAAACAATCTGTGTGAACTACTAAGGAAACTTAGATAATGTGAGAAAAAGCAATATTGGCCAGATCACACAGGAAATCTGTTGGGGCTGCCAGGAGCTAGCTTCACAAATCCAGAATGAATGCAAGACCTGAGATCTTTCTTTTCTTGACTCACTCTCAATCACAGAGACATAGCCAGAGAAGGAATGCCAGGCTTCCCAGAAGGTGGGGTTTCTTCTGGTGCTGTACCAACACAGAGAAAAGTCTGAGCTCCAAACTTTGGTTCAACACTCTGTCTTAGACCTGTCAATTATGAGAAAACCCCAATGCTTTCCCTGTGGCATAATATTATTTACTTACCAGTCCCACAATATTTATCAGGTGAGGCCTGCTCTGATGTCCTCTTCCCAGAGACTCCCAAATCCTCCTAATGCCCGTCAGTTCCCCCGTCACAGCGTCCCAGGTCTGCCTTCCCTCTATTACTATAAATACACTCTGACTTAGTGCCAAGCAGTGGACGGGTACCCTCTGGAGCTGGGCAAAGAGCACAGGGCATGTACCCAGCGTAAACACAAAGTATTGACCCAGAAATCCAGCACCCCACTGCCCTCATCCCAGCTGTGTTATGGAACAAGGCATGGCTGAAAACCGTACAAGCGTCACACGTGCAAGCCCTGCCACCTGCCCAGCTGAGTTCTGTGCCCTGCCTGTGCCAGGAGCACAATCTCAGCGCTCAGTTGAACATTGTTCTGCTGCTGCAGTCTGTGGCATCTCCTAATCCACGTTAAACTGACCTAAATGTCACACAAATGCTTTTTGGCACAGGAAGTGCAGGGCACTTGTCACCAGCAGAAGGTAGATCAGTGATGCCTGCATGGGAGAATTTCACTATTTACATTATAAATTGGCTGAATAGAAGTCCCTGTGTTGACTGCAGTAAACTGCAGAAACAAACACACACACACACACACACACACAAAAACCCCAAGCACTGTAACAAATATGCTCGTCAGAGGGAGAATAAACTTCATACACTTATAAACACAAACACTAGAAGCACTGCTTTTAGAGTACATGCTAACACCACTTCTTCCCACCTACCAGAAGAATTCAGGAAAAGGCACAGCTCCCAGTGAATGCTTGATTCCACAGATCTCTGAGAATGCTTGCTCCTGTCCTTTCCTGTGAAAAATTGTCAGTTCCTGGATAAACATGTGGATAACCTAAGGACAAGCACACAAGTGGTGCAGACCTTGTCCTGCTGCTTTGTGTACTAAGCCTACTCTCATTTATGAAAAAGTGATGTTTACCTCTTCCAGTAGAACATTTGCACATCCAGTGAGGCACCCATAGGAGTCCTGCAACCTACGACTGACAATTATGCTGCGATAATGACACCTTTGATAGGCAAGATGAGGGTTACTCTTAAAGATAAATATCTCCTTTTAAAGGCAAAAAGCCTGAAGGTGATGTTATTTAAAAACAAAACAAAACAAAACAAGAAAATGCTGCCTATGTATGTATATACCAGTTCATAAAAGGGGAGATTTCTGGAACACAGGATGGGTCATGACTGATCTTAAATCAATTATATAGCTCAAATGATCAGCTCACTTATAAAGCCAGCATCCAAAGCATACTCACTCCTCTGATAAGAACTGATTTCAGCATTCAGGTGTGGTCTTCTCACCACATGAGGTGAATGCAAACAGTTCAAACCTGCACACAATAGTTATTTCTTACAACTAAGCTTCCCAAAGGAACGTAGTGCAGTGTGATAGATAATGGAATGTGGATGCCTCATTCCACTTCATGCCTCATTCTGACTTCCTCAGAAATCTGTGTCAGTCTTTAAGGAGTAAATCTTCTTGAAAGAGTCACTCTAACTGTTTGCAAACTATGCATATAAAATTGCCCAGAACAGTGGAAATGTGTGTGGACAGGTAAAAGAGTCACTAATGATGTTCTAGTTGCCTGCTGCAAACTTACTGACTACCATGGGTTCCTCATGTAGGTGTACTCCTTTGAATAAGGATCCAAACCTAAAATAATCCTTGATGTTTGCATAACAAAAGATCTCAAATGAACTGCAAACATCAGTTAAAAAGCAGAGGTCAGCACAGGAGACCATGACTGTATCTCAGTGTAGAAGAGAATGGGAGAATTCAAGGTCACACAAGAAAGTTTGCAACTGCAGAAGGATTAACACCCTTCCACTCTGACATGTTCAACATGAAACCATCCTTCACCTCAAGAGTCTTCTACAGAGAAACTTACAGATCTGTAGCACAACAGAAAAAAGAAGCCTACACAGAAGATGAGAAATGGGACTGCTAAAATGATTTTGTGACCGTGTCAGAAACTAACAGGTAGCAAATCAGTATCCAGTATGACAACAGGCACAATCACAATGACTGCAGCAATCCCTAAACCATGAAAACAGACAGCAGATTGGAGGCCATCAGCAATTAGCTAAAGGAAAAGGAAGTCATCGAGCTTCCATGTATACTCACTTCAAGAAGGCTTTATGGTCATTAAACACATCCATGTATCAGCAAAAATTTTATATGTCCATATTTCAATATATTTTAGCTCAGTAAACTGCACCATGAAAAATTATCAGCAGCTTACTCAGGTTATTGATGTATTCAAGAGGAAGAGTCTCTCAAAATACAAAATTTCTGTTTCTCTTATCACCTTCAATTTTCCAGTCCTTAATTTATCCTTGTTTTCATTTACAACACAACTAAAACTGCAGATAATGAAGACACTTTCCCACCGTGATACGATGCTGTTGCTGAGTTTGAGGTCTTTGAAGGGCCTCTATCATCTGGCAGCTGTGGCACAGCACCCTGGTTTACATGGGGGTCCCACCACCCGTGGATGCCTTCTCTGCTGACCTTGTTGCCTCTCATCTGTGTCTGCTCCTGTACTCTGCTGATGCTCAGCTCTCCTCAAGTTTGAAGCCTGTGATGCCACATTAACCTCAGCAGCTGCTGCCTCATCCCAGCGCCTGAAGTGATCGGTGTCAATAAAAATCTAAACCAGAGGAAGCCAAACAAAACTCAAGAAAAGGCTCCAAAGAAAAGCAGTGATGATTTCCTGCAACTCTCAGGCAACTTGAAAAATAAAGCACCTGGGAGGCAAACAGAGAATGAGTGGAATGAAAAGGAATTGATGGAAAGCTGAAGAGGAGTTTAATCACTCAGGAAAGCAGGGGAAAGGTGCATGATGGATTTTCCACATGGTTTCTGGGTAGCCAAGGAAACAGTTTTTATCTGCCTGATGAAGAAGCCTGTTCACTCACTGAACTTGTGTCTCACAGTTTTCAGGTTAATGGTACTTGAATTTCTCCTGGTCTCTGACTGCAGTGATTCCTTTTTACATGCTGGACTCATGCACTTTTCCCAGCTCCAGCCTGGAGCTGCTAACTCTACCATCTCTCACTATCTAAACGTGCTACTTGCATTACTAGTTACCTGCAACTCTGACTATCTTTTTGGAATTGAAATATTTCAGAGAAAAATGGATGTTAAACATCCTCCCCCCCGCGACAATTTACATCAATATCTCATGTGCAGAAAGCTTAATATGCTTCAGCTTCTGTGTCTGGACTTCACCAACAATTTCTTCTGCCCCTTCTCATTTCACTGTGCAAAAAGCACTTAAGCTTCCAAGTTCCCATCTGTGGTAAAAGGAGCTGTACAACATTAGGTTGTTAGGAAAAAATCATTGTACTGAAACTGCCTCTGGTGTAAAACATTGACTTGGAATTAGCTAGAAGGTGCTGGATCCTGATTTTCTGGGTAGTTTCTTGATTCTTATTCCAGTTTCACTCTGTCCAGATCCGGACACCCTTCCTCCTGGAAGCCGTGTGAGCTAGAGAAGGGCTGGCACACAGCACTGCAGGCAGAAATATATTGCCAGTCTCTAAAAGACCATACTCTGTTCCTCTGTTTCTCTCCTCATATCTTATCTGGAAAGTGGTTTCTGCATTACAAAGGTTTGCCTCATGAAGTGCTTACAAAAATGGGATCTTATCAAAGAGTGCTAATGTGAGTAATATCTAACTCTATCCTTGACCTCCCTGTAACTCATACTCAGCATAGTCAATCAAACTACTTCTTAATTCCTTGCTGTATCTTCCCAACAGAAGATTACTGAAATGTTAGTAGTTGTTCACCACAGCTGGTCCAAGGACATGCAGAGTGATGAACAACCAGCATTAATATAAAGAAGTAAATATAACCTCTCATTTATTTCTGAGTCGTATTTCTGCGTTATTCACCTCCCCCAGCTACTACTTGACACAACAACCTGCACCAGAAAGCTTCACCCTGTGGCTTATGTAACCCACTTGCTTTTGATTGGCCTTTTCCAGATGTTTCTTTAGCTCAATCATCTCAGAATTTCTCTGAAGAATTTGCTGAGGCTGCACGACAGCTAAAAAAAGAAGCTCCAAGAATCCAGTTTGGCAAAATTGATGTGACACACCAACCTGATTTGAGGAAAGAATTTAATATTCAAGCCTTTCCTACTGTGAAGCTTTTTGTGAATGGCAGCAGGGAAGATCCTATAGACTGCAAAGGTAAACTGTCTTATGCACTGATAAGATAATGATATGTAATGACAGGATGTACCTATCTATTATGCTGCTGAGAAGAAAAATATAGATGTTCAGATAAAGAATACACAAGGTAGCGAACTGGTTTTTACAATTACCTTTGTACCAATACAAGAACTTGAATCTGAATTCATCTTCCAAGGGCATAACTGAATATGCTTTTCTGTGTTCAGCCAAATTAATTGTTGGTGTTATTCCACTGAACAGAGAATCACCTCAACAAGACAACTTACTCCCATATAGCACAATAAACATTAATGAGCTGTGCCAAACAAGAATTTTGTCCCAGACTGCTCCATTTACCCCTCTGGTCCACTGCAGTTTCCATGGGTAGTGTGCCTACAGGAGTAGGCTGGAACAACACTGTGCATCTCTCAATGAATTGTGAGTTCACTAGGTTCCCTGATACACAGGTATGCTTCCTAAGCTAAGGAAAATAATTTTGCAATTTAGCCATCAGAGGGAGCTCATATGTGGCTCAGAAATAACATGGAATAACTTGAAGTCTTTTGCAGAAAGTTATTAAACAAAGTCAAGGACAGACTTGAAATCCAGGCCTTATTAGAGATTTTCGTTCACTTACAGTATATACAAGAAAGTTTGGGGTTTTTTCCTAAAATGATGAACTTTTACAGAGATGATAAAAATTGCATGACTTGGGCAAGCATCTCTGAGTGTACTGTGGGTGCACACAGGTGAATCACAAGTTTAATACAGCTAACAAAAAAAAGGAACCTAAAGTTTGCCTCCTGAGTCTGTACACAACCAAGTGCTAAGATACCTTTAACTGCTGAGCCCCCTGTGGCTACTGCTGAAAGCTGATCTTCAGTATTTTTAGTAACTTGCTCCT